GCATTTCCTAACGTCTGGAGCAGCTTGAGCATGGTAAGAATTTGAAAGTATACTGACAACTGTTTTTGTAGAAAGTTTCAAAGCAGTATTTTTATTCTTTCCAGAAACTCATATAAACCCTTTATTTGCTTTTCATTTTAATCTGTACAAAGAACAATCATGACCTTACAATTCAGAAGTCTATTCTTTCCTAGCAGCAGCATTAATGTGATCATCAATAACCAGCTGTAACAAATCTGTACATGGAAGAAGACTCATAAAAGGACAATGATGGCTAATCAAACTTCTCTCTTGAAAAACATTCAAAATGCAAACTTTAGGTCATTAATTCTTCACATTTTTTTTTCATATGGTAATGAGATTCTCTGACTCAAGGTTGTCAAGTGACTTGGGATATATTTTGGATCAAGGAAGAGACTTGTGGACTTTTTAAAAATGAAATGTGCCATGAAAATCCACATTTCATTTATTCACAATGCATTTAAAGGACTTTTAACTTTTTGTTCTTCTGTTATAATTATTAATACTATTAAGATAATTCTAATCCTCTGTTCTGTGTGACATTGGCATGTAAGTTTCTAAGGGCAAAGAACTCTTTAGGGCTTTTCAGAGGGAGAATGCATCTAGATACTGGGATAGTTTTTAGAGAACTGGAAGCAAACCTCATAATGCATAATTTGGAATGATGCTGTCCCAATTTTGGAAACATCTATCTCTTAGATTACAGATAAAAACTTTTGCATGTGCTTAGTATTTAATTTTGACACTCAGGGAGTACTTTCTCACTTTGTTCACTTTTATAGCTCTGATATATGTCCTGGAGGAAATACCTTTTTTTTTTTTTTTTTTTTATCATTTTAGTGGTAGGAATCAAATGGTGTTTCATCATCTCCCCTTTTGGACAATTACTGTGTCTGAGGCATGTATCAAGGTGGAAACTGAGGTTACTTCATCCTGAGTGAATATTGCCACACCTTGCACTTTTCACAAGATAGAAAGCTCTATCTAAATAACCAGAGCATGTTCTCTGCATCTTCAGAACTATAAGGTGACTATGGAATCTTTGGTGAGGCAGCTCTTTGCTTCTTCCATTGCCTTGTAGTCTCTCCCAAGAGTAGAGTAAAGGAAAAAAAGTGGTCTTTTTCTTTCCAGGTAGGTGGAAACTAGTTCCCTAGTAGTGGCTGAATTTCATCCTAGATGACACAGGGTAGAAAGGGACCAGTTCCATCTCTCAGATGATCGTTTATGTAGAATACGTGTGACTTTGCTTAAGGTCATTCAAATCAAGAATTCGGATCCCCACAATCATAGCCACAAATCACTGGGGTAACAGAGAGGCTGGGAGAGATCTGCCAGGAAGCAACAAAGGCAGAGCTGCTCATCAAGGAAGGAAGGAAGGAGGGCACTGAGGGTAAGAGCAAGGCAGGCAGCAATCTGTGCAGTCCTGTGGTGCCCCCATGGTCGGTCACTGAAGCAGTACCCAACTACTCCTTTTTTCTCATTAGACTTGACTTTCCTTTTGGCAGTGCTTGAGTGCTTTATGCTCCAGATCTCAAACTGAACGTGCTTCACTGCGTTGAAACATGCCTGCTCTCTGCGGCATGGTGGTGGAAGTCATTTGGAAGTACATCTAAGAAAGGACATTTTGGGGCTTTTAACTGGGAATAATGAGAAACATGATGGCACAAAGTGACAAAAAATTCTCAGGATATTGCTAGTCTGATAAGTTCTAGTAATGGTAAAATTAACTATGCTGGCACTGATATTGTAGTCATTTGAGAAGCTACAACTCTGTGAATTTCCACATTACAAAGCCCAGCAATATTCAGTTAGTATTAGATACAATTCTCTCTTAATGAATTATGTCATAGACAGGGAAGAGCAAGCTGAACATAATATGGTTTCCAGGGAAACATCCTTATTAACTGAATATCCTGATCAAGTGCATCCTGATTTAATAAAAATATATTGATTGTTGTGACATAAAATATAATCAGGAAAGATAAATATGGAGTAGAAAAACTTTGAAGTAGATTACTGAAATTTAGACAACATGAAACAGCTTTATATAACTTCTGATTTCTAAATAGTAGCTTAAATTTTTTTTTCTCCTGTTATTCACAACTTCTAGCCTTTAGGAGATTCAGAAATAGAGTGTTTTTCACAAGTTAGCCTATGTTCTAAAAAATTTAATAGGAGGAATGATTTTTTTTTTTAAGGGATATGAACAAATGTTTCTGTCCACTTTTAAATTTTTATTTGCATCTTTTCTGGGGGTTTTTTCCCGTTTTTGATTAATTTTTAAGGTAAATTTCTAACTTGAAAGAAAAAGAGATTCAGCTTTTGTTTGTGGTTGGTGTATTAAGTCTCAGAATTTTGGGACAAAATGGTGTTCGCAGATTATTTCTTCTTTATTTGAAATATCTGGAAACTCAGTTGAAAGATTTCAAAGATAAATATTTGCTTTAAGAGCCTAAGCATTTCTCGGTAAAGGAGTAATGGTCTAAAAAGAAATCACCAATATTATTGTTGGACTTTGATCCTTACAGATATAATAAGCTTGCCATAAAAACCTTTGTCATCAATTTCATTAATTCCATTAAGCATTAGAAAGTCTATGTAACTTAATATTACCTCAAATTTGTGCAGAGAAAACTGGTAATTTGATTTCTTAGCTCTCTTGTGCCTGTATTCTATTTAGTTAATGTTGACAGAGTACTCTGTTTGGTTCTGTAGTCCTAAATGTGTGTTAAATCATTTTGCAATCATCCTGCCTAAGATTTGGACATGATTTGTCTTCAGATGTTTGATTTTTTACTCTACTGAACAGTGTGCTGAACACTGTAAAGGAAAAAAATCACAAAAAAGAATATATGAAAAATCTTAAGGTTATGAGATAAAAAATAATCTAGTGTTATGAAATAGGCCTGTCACCCCTGTTTATAAGCATACATTCAATATTCTTATTTAGTAATATTAATTGAATAATGACCAGAACAGGCACACACAAATACACAGAAACCTTTATCATAGAATCATATAGAGTGGTTTGGGTTGTCAGGACCCTTGAAGACCATCTCGTTCCAGCCTCCCTGCCAAGGGCAGGGACACCGTCCATTACATCAGGTAGCTCAAAGCCCCATTCAGCCTGGCCTTGAACACCTCTGTGGGGACCCTAAGAGGCATCCCCTGAGTTAGGGAGACACAAACCACTCCCTCCCAGCTCCTGCATTTTTACACCTCCAGGGGTGTGGCATCTACAATTTCTCTGGTCAGCCTGTTCCAGTGCCTCATCACCCTCAGAGTAAAAAAATTTCTTCTTATATCTGATTTAAACCTACTCTCTTAATGTGAAACCATTCCCCCTAGTTGTGTCACTGCATGCTTTGTAAATATTCTTGCCCCATCATTCCTGTAAATTCACTTGAGGTACTGGAAGGCTGCAATTAGGTCACTCCAAGGCCTTCTCTTTTCCAGGCTGAACAATCCCAATTCTCTCAGTCCTTCCTCATAGGAGAGCTGTTTCATCCATCTAATCATCTTGGTGGCTGTCCCCTGGACTCTCTCCAACAGGTCCATGTCCCACCTGTGCTGGGATGCAGGGTTCCAGGTGGGCTCTCAGCAGAGCAGAGGGGCAGAATCCCCTCTCTGTCCCTGCTGCCCATGCTGCTTTGGCTGCAGCACCGGACACGTTTGGTTTCTGGGCTGTGAGTGCCCATGGCTGGGTCATGTCCAGCATCTCACTCACCAGCACTCCCAAGTCCTTCTCTTCAGGGCTGGTCTTGAGCTGTTTATCCTGCATTGATACTGGGGGCTATAACTTTCATCTATTGCCTTTCTTTCAACCATCAACTCATTTCATGACTAATGCCTAAAATCAGAAGCAGACAACAGCTGTCTACATGTGCCACCTGTTAATATTTCAGATGTCACAGAAAATGTGTTATCTGCCAACGGCTGACAGATTGACAAAGGACATTCAAGCTTCTTCTGCAGCCATTGAAGTCTGGATGAAATAGCTGAGAGCTCTTAAAAGGAATCTAAGTTCCTCTCTTTAGGCAACTGCAAAATAATTTGCACATGTTTGCATATATATATCTGTGGGAAGACATCCTCAGACTCCTAAAATGAAATTCTTCTGCTTGTTGGCCTTTAGCTGCTTCTCTGAATATTATTTGATCTCCCAGATAGATGTTCTATGATATCTAGAAATTTACTGCACTGTACAGATATGCTGTTATATGCAATTAAATCTTGCTCTAATTTGGGTGTCTTAGGTTGTCTGATATACCTCTATGGGTCTGGCAGACATGGCACAAAATCTGCATGAGTGTTGCACTCTTCTGGCCTGACAACAGTGAGATCACAGAATCAGAGAGTCATTCAGGTGGGAGCAGGCCTCAGGAGTTCTACAGTCCAACTCTTGCTCAGAGCTAGGTCAGTTGTGAGGTTAACCCAGATTACATAATACAATGGGATCTTGAAAACTTACACGGTAATTTACAACATCTCAAAAGCTGGTAGATATATAGGCAAGTGAATCAAACATGACATTTAAAACTTGCAGCCTCCTTCTTTGGAATCACAATAGAATATTCTTTTACCTGTATGAACTGAGAATTGTTGGTTTTCAGGTAGGAACATTGTTTTGGTTTGATTTTAAAAATAAGGGATGTTCCTGCAAAGAGATACCTTCTAGGTCCTTTCAGTGTTGTGCTGGAAACCATTAAAAATAAGCCTACAAGAGAATATTTAGTTCTTATCAAAACATTTAGTAAAAGATTAGTAAGATTCTAGTCTTAAGGGCTGGTGAAACACTGGCTTTTAAAATCAACTCTTTAATTTTCTTTCTGTGTTCCAAGAAAAAATAGCCCTGAAAAACTGTATGTTCTAGAATGAGGAAATACACTTGTGACATCCATTTTTACTTGTCTCTCGTTGCATGGTATGGCTTTTCTAGGAATTTCTAGGATGTTTCATTTACTTATTGTCATTCACAGATATTGGCTGACCTGGAAAACCATGCACTTTTTAAGGATGACCTAGAATGCCAGAAGCTTATTCTGGAAGCCATGAAATATCATCTTTTACCAGAAAGAAGAACTCTTATGCAAAGTCCAAGAACTAAGCCTAGAAAATCTACAGTTGGAACACTTTACGCTGTTGGAGGAATGGATAACAACAAAGGTATTATGGATATTTTTTGCTTTATGAGTTATACTTCATATTTTCTTTGTCAGATAATGGTGAAATAACTTTCTATTCCAAGATTGGTGGGGGGATGTCTAAATCAGTCAAGAAATGTTGCCAAGATCTTGGTCCAATGAAAATCTACTGATATTTATGGAAAAGCAAAATACAGTTAGAGAAAAGAAACTGAGTTTTGAGTTCATTCTTTGTTCAAAATTATTATAATTTTCAGAAAGAAATTTAACAAAGAAACTGGAATGATAGTAATATACCTTAGTTATGGATTTCTAGAATTTTTTTTTCCTTTCTAAGTCAAATACTTCTCTCAATTTTTTAAATCTTTATAAAAAGCAGTTTGATATGCAGTGTATTTGATCCTTAAGTAATTGTTTGGAACATTAATGATTATTCATGGGTCTTCCAATGCATAAATTTTTAAGTCTTCTAGAGAAAAAAGATAACTAGCTTCAACTAGATTGCTTGTTTGTCAGCAGATAAAGGAAGGTAAAATTAGCCCCATTTTTCTATGAAGTAGGAAGAAGTGGAAATTTTATTAAAGCTTTTTGTTGTTATTTATTTGGAATAAGAGTTATTATGATAGGTTGTGCTTACATTTCTGGTAAATTTAATCCACTGATTTGAATGAAGTGAAACAAAATATTTGAGCTAAAAGCTAGCTATATTACAAGTTTATATACTCAAAAAGGCTTTATAATTTTTTGGTGATATCCCCAAACAATTCCACAGCATTTAATTTTTCATGTCTGTATTCAGAGTGAAGACTCTACCTCCATAAACACTAGTTCTAATATAAAATAAACTGCACTTTTTAAAAGTATCATATAAAATTATATCTTTAGTGTTTCACAACTCTTTGTCTAGGTGCTGTTATTGAAGTTTTTTCACTACATAGCTGTGACAATATTGTTTGCAGAATTCCATGGCATGTTGTTTCCCATCAAGTTGTACCAGTGATTAGAGTGTATGACATCTGTTCCTGTGTGAAAGTAAATGGATGGCATCAAGAGAAATATGACAAGCAAGTCGAGACAGCTTCATGCTTTGGGAATGAAGCTGTGTCAGAGAAGGTTTAGATCAGCTATCACGAAAAGGTTTTTCACCCAAAGGGTGATTGGGCACTGAAAGAGGCTCCCCAGGGAAGTGCTTACATCACAAAGTCTGTTGGAGTTCAAAAAGTGTTTGGAAAACGCTCTCAGGCACATGATGTGACTCTTGGGGATATCCTGTGCTGGGCCAGGAATTAGGCTTCATGATCCTTGTGGGTTGCTTCCAACTCAGCTTACTTTGTGACTCTGTGACTGTGATTCTGCCTTTCAACCCCACTTTCTTGAGGCCCCCCCCATGGAGTATTGCATCCACCTCTGGGTTCCCATAATGACACAGAGCTTCTGGAGCGAGTCTGGAGCGATCAGAGCACTGGAGCACCTTTCCTGTGAAGGCAGGCTGAGAGAGCTGGGACTGCAGCACAGAGAAAAAAAGGGCTCCAGGGAGACCTTATAATAATCCACCTTCCAACACCTAAAGGAGCCAACAAGAAAGCTGGAGACAGTTTTTGCAAGGGCCTGTAGTCATAGGACAAGGGGCAATGACTTTAAACTGAGGTCATCCGTTCAGATCACTTATTTGGAAGTAATTGGTTACTGAGCGTGGTGGTGAGACACTGGCACATGTTGCCCAGAGAACAAGTGTTGAAGGTTTGGATAAGGCTTTAAGAAATGTGGTCTAGTGAAAGGTATCCCATATCATGGCTCAGGGGTTGGAACTAGATGACTGTTTGGGTTTGAAGGTCCCTTCAATCCCAAACTGTTTAATGAGTCTATGACAAAAAGAAATTGTTGATGAAATAACCAATACATATATACATACATATATATATTCTTAAAGTAGCTGCAGATTATTTTTGTCCTTTTAACAGTAATAAACAATTGTGTAGCTAAATGTTAGTTATTGATGTGCACAGAACATTGGATGATAAAATACAAATTTCCTCTTATGACAAATTACAATAAACACAAACATTCAGGTAGGAAATGACCCAATAATAAACCCAATTTGGGTGCAGCTGTATTTGTTCTCATTTACTATTAATATGTGTTTCTCAATAAAAATACAGAAATATTTAGGATGACAGCACGAGGCAAAACACCATTACCACATCAACACTCAGCCTGTTTTGCAGATTTAGGTCAGGCAGACACAGTTCATTTCTGTAGCAGCAGGAGAAAACACAGAGCAACAGAGGTTCAGCCCTCTGTTGCTGCAATCTCTGACTGAAAACTAGCAGGACTTTTGCACATTTACAGTGGATAAAAATTGATTTGAGAATGGGCTGGTATAGCAGAGGAGCATCTGCATAGCAGGAGCCTGTGTTACAGCTGATGCAATATGTATTCCCAGCAGCTCAGGCTCTGCAGCTGTGCTGCCTCAGCTTGCATCTGTTCAGCTCATCCCTCTTGAGATCCTGCTGTCTTCTTGACTAGCTTTTATGCCCAGTAAGTCTTGTTTCCACACGTCCATTCAGGAGACCTGAGTGCTGTTTTCCTGCTTTCAAGAGTCACTGAGTTGATAAAGCGATCCTGGGCTGGGAGATGATGCTGACACTTACTGTATTATTTCTCCTAAAGAATTAGTAATTTGGTTTTTTTCCCCATAACTTTCTTCACTGAAATGCTGATATAGATGGTTGAACTTCACAAAGATGTATTTTTAATGCTTCCTGATGTTTGCTGCTAAATGTGAAACCATTGCAAATAATTGGATGAGTTAGACAAATTAGCAATTTATTAACTAGTGTATAAAACAGTGGCTAAGTGCAAATATTATGAAAGCATTTGAAGGTTATATGGCTCATCACATAAAAAGTAGCCTAGCATGCTAAGTTTGTTTTGAAGTGTCTTCTATAATTATCTTCCTTTCCATAAAAATGAAGTGATAATTAAACTCCAGCAAACAGCAACTGGAATTTTGCCTGATGTGAGAAATTAATGCAGCTTAGTACTAAATGGATAGAGAGGAATTATCAAACTTAGATGAATTTGTAATTTTAATTCCCTAGACAAATTAAAATAATTTAAATCTCTTTTTCCACGCACCTTTGCTTATTTATTAATTTAATTTTAAAGGCACATATAAGAAACACATTTTCTCAGTATGTCTGCATTCATGGAATGGAATGCATTAATAGATTGCAGGTACATGCTGCTGACAATGTTCCATTCACTTTACCCATTAATATAATCACACTGAGTTCTCAAATTTGGATTAGCAATATTTAATCATGTAATAGTATACAGAAGTCCATAAATAGAGCAGGATGATTGAAATAAATGAGTAATTGAAGAAGTGGACATACAGGAATTTTTTAGGAATGATTAAGCTCTGACTTCCTGCAGCCATCCTAGAAACCCAAATATAGAGCAGAAGCCAAGTGGTAGAACATGATGTATGTGGTCTATGTTAGATGGTGCTATAGATTATGAGCAGGAAAATATACAGCATATGGAGATTGGGATCAGTAATCAAGCAGTGCTGCAATTATATCAGAATGCTGATTAATTTCTCTTGAGGTGTTTTAGCCTGTCTCACTCTAGGTAGCAGTTAGAATAATAAGGGAAAAGGAGAATTTGCAGAAAAAGAAAATAAAGGTATTACAGTAACCATGATCCAAAACCACTGGTATATATTATTTTTTGAATAGCTGTAGACTAGTTCCTCAAAGCCCTAGATTAGTTATTTGTTTATTGAATCCCAGTCTAAAAGTAAATACAAGGGAAAAATAATGAAAAGCTGCATGAGCAGGAAACTCTTCCATAAAAAATGTGGTAGGTCATTTTAAAAAGTGATGGAATAGTCAATTTACTGAAGCACTGATATTATATATGTATTTTTCATTAATCATATGACTAGACATAAAACCTGCTGCCAAAAGTACCCTGGTGGTAAACAGGTAATGTTCATCATTAAGCTGTATCAAACAATAAAAGTTATTTTATTGTTGTATAGATACCTTGTAGAAAGATCTCTTCTATTGCCACAGATATATTTAAAAAATTAACGTTTTGAAATATGAAATTGAGGCCTCCAGTCATTCTTCCTTATACACCCATGTCGCATATTTTTATTTTTCTTTAATATATTTTAAATCATTGCAATAATCCTTTTTGCTTCACAATTACATTTTATCAAATATGGTTTATTACATATTTATATATATATATNAGGAATGCCATCTAGCTACATGAAGTTACTCTTGTTCTAGTGAATTTTGGAGATGTCCTTGTCTTTCTGGACTTTTTTAGTTTTGATTTTGCTTTTTGTTTTGCTTCATTTTGTTTCTAGCAAGAACGTTTCTCAAAGCAGATTTCATTTAAACTTTATTTTAAATTTATATTTTTTCATTCTCATATAGGCATATTTTTTAAATGCTGAAAGAAATATTCAAAAACCTATTGTAGATACTCTAAAAAAGGGGCAAAAATAGGGAAAGATCATGTTTCTCCTCTTAGGTAGTTCTTCCAGCTTCTTGAGATATATCTGAGTTGTCTGTGGCTGGAATCTGCCTTCTTCCTCTTCAGTTTAGTGGGAATTTGTTAAAAAATAAAAAAGAAAAATAATAAAAAAATAAGAAATAAGAAAGTTAAATCTATCAAGATTTTTATATGGCACTTGGCAAGTTGTAAAAATTGCTATAAAACCACTTTGTCTTCACATACATAAAACGTTTGACAGCATTCATTATCTATCCATTTGATGCACAAAACTATCTTGAATAAACATCTTATTTTCATCTTAGCTGCATTTTCCTTCTAAATATACAATGTACTGTAACTGTGTTTAATTTTCAGAATGTGGGTGCTTAAAGTCCTGTGTTTGTATAATACACAAACAGCAAAATCTACTTATGAAGATAGAGTATTTTCCTTTAAAAGAAAGAAAAGACCCAAGTGTTTATTACTGAATATTTCTCCCTGATGTGC